CTTATAAGGAGTTAATATCCAAATATAAAGAACTTATAAAACTCAACACCAAAAAATAAATCCAATTTAAAGGTGGGCAGAGGACCTGAATAGACATTTTCCAAAGAGGACATACACATGCAAAGATACCCAACGTCACTAACCATGACAGAAATGTAAATCAAAACCACAATGAGATATCACTTAACACCTGCCAGGATGGCTACAATAAAAAAGACAAGAAATAACAAGTGTTGGCAACGATGTGGTGAATGAGGAACACTTGTGCACCACTAGCTGGAACGCAAATTGGTGCAGCCACTGCAGAAAACCGTATTGACGTTCCTCAAGAAATGAAAAATGCAAATACCACATGATCCGGTAATTGCACTACCAGGAATCTATCCAAAGAAAACAAAAACAGTAATTTGAAAAGATATCTGCACCTCTATGTTTATTGCAGCATTGTTTATAATAGCCAAGATATGGAAGCTACTCAAGTGTCCACTGATAGATGAATGAATAAACAAGTGGTATATAAATACAATGGAGTATTACCCATAAAAAGAAGGAGATTTTGCCATTTGTGAGAACATGGATGGACTTAGAGGGTATTATGCTAAATGAAATAAGTCAGACAAAAAAGGACAAATACCATATGGTTTTACTTATACGTGGAATCTAAAAAGTAAAACAAATGCACAAACAAGCAGAACCAGACCTGTAAAAATAGAGAACTGATGGTTGCTAAAGGGGAAGCAAGTGGCGAGGTGAAGGAGAGTGGGAGAGAAAGGTTTCCAGCTATGTAATGAATAGATCATGGGGATAAAAGGTACAGCATTAGGAAATACAGTGAGTGATACTGTATGTGTATGATGTTGGACAGTTGCTACACTTGTGAACATAACATACAGACTCGTCAAATCACTAGGTCATATGTCTAAAACTAACATTTTGTGTCAAATATACTTCAATAAAAAAAGTTTGTTTTAAAAAAAGATTTTATTTTTGGGGCGCCTGGGTAGCTCAGTCCGTTGGGCGACTGACTTCACTCGGGTCATGATCTCACTGATTGTGAGTTCGAGCCCCATGTCAGGCTCTGTGCTGATAGCTCAGAGCCTGGAGCCTGCTTCGGATTCTGTGTCTTCCTCTCTCTCTGCCCCTCTCTCTCCTTCAAAAATAAACATTAAAAAATTTTTAAAATATTTTATTTATTTAAAAAAAAATTTTTTTTTCAATGTTTTTTATTTATTTTTGGGACAGAGAGAGACAGAGCATGAATGGGGGAGGGGCAGAGAGAGAGGGAGACACAGAATCGGAAACAGGCTCCAGGCTCCGAGCCATCAGCCCAGAGCCCTACGCGGGGCTCGAACTCACGGACCGCGAGATCGTGACCTGGCTGAAGTCGGACGCTTAACCGACTACGCCACCCAGGCGTATAAAAGAATGGCAACAACAACAAAAATGAAAGCCAATGTTGCTGGAGCTAATTTATGGAGGGACAGAGTGGAAGGGATAAAATCAGAGAAGTGGATGGTGAGGGATAGAGATGGTGTAGTGAGACATGCCAGAGACATCCTAGTTCAAGACAACAGAGATTTACCAAGCTCCACCTATGTGTCATGGCCTGGGGGATTCAAAGATGAATGGATAATGGTCTCTGTCCTTATGCAGTTTGCAATATAGGCTATATCCCCCGACTTAGACTATAGTGTTATAAATACACCTTAATAATAAGCAAATGGCCACCCATAGTTTGAGTTCTCCTAGAAGCAGACCCTGAGCCAACCATTAAGGTGCTAGTGATTTACAAAGGAAGTGTTCCTAGGAGGAACTCATAAGATCCAAGGAAGGGTGGGATTTCAAGCAACAGATTCAGCTTGATCCATGGGGAATTCTTTAGTGTAAATTGTACTGCTGAATTTGTCACACTTTGAAGCAATAGAGTTAGGTTTTTGTACACCTGCTAAATGGCTATGGGCTGCCCAACAGGGTGGTGTCACTCTCAGGCATTTTGGGTTCCATATAGGTGAATTGGCTCCAGTGGTAATTCTCTGAAGATTATAGCAAAGGGAGTGGAAGCTGGGGGGGTGGGAGCACAGAGATGTTAGAGGGGATCCAAGGGGATGCTGATGGGGCACCAAGAGTCTCCACCCCCAAGGGCTAACAGAACTTCTTAGCCTAGAAGATAGGGCTTGAAGGACAGGTGGAGGATAATAAGTGAAATAAAACAGAAAAACAACAAAAGGCCGGTGTCATTAGCTGTGGCCTAATTATTTACATGGGTGCAGAAAGAATGTTAACTTACCATGTGGGCCTTCTTAAGTCAGCTCTGCAAGCCTGGGCCCACGTTGTACTAAACAACTGCTGAGGTTGCAACTTTGGAAGTCTACATGAGGAATCTCAAACTGGACATTTATAATCCATTTCATGTTAGCCCAAGACTAGCAAACCAAACCCATGAAATTCTCTACCACTTTTCCCCTGCAGAGCTCCTACATTTGGGTCAGTTCCTTTGTTCTCCACATCTGTGCCTTACAGTTTTAACTACACAATGTTTCCACAGATCTTATCTAAAATTTAAAATATGAACAGAGAAATCACAGTCTTAGGATATCATATCAGACTGAGAAACATGAAATTGTAGAACTTATTTAAAACCTTTATAATTTTTAAAAATATTTACTTAGAGGGAGCACACATGGGGGAGGGACAGAGAGAGAGGAAGAGACAGAATCCCGGGCAAGCTCTGACTTGTCAGTGCAGAGCCCGAGGTGGGGCTCGAACTCACAAACCATGAGATCATGACCTGAGCCAAAATCAAGAGTCAGACACGTAACCGACTGAGCCACCCAGGAGCCCCTAAAACATTTTTAAGCTTAGAATTTTGAGAAACTATTCCCACTCTCACTATTCATATTAGAAAAATATATTAAAACTCCACTGGACTGAATGCCTATTTGCCTGTTTAATACGGAGGTTTGTATAGATACTATTGGTCTCATTAACAAAGAGGAAACTGAAGCAGAATATACACGCAGATACAATCCTGGCTCTCATGCCACTGAGTTCGTTTTGTCATTGGGTTTATATTTCTCAATGGAAGAAACTGCTCCTATGGCCGACTGTGTTGCTTCTCTGGCTGTAGAATAAAGCAGTTTACTCTTTCTCCAGGACCCCACAGAATGTGGAAAGGGAACGGAGCAAAGCGCTGCTGTCCCCCACCTTCTAACACCTGTTGCATAAGCCTGGTTCTACCCTGGGGAGGTCTCACAGCCGTGGAGTTCTGAGGTCAGCCATTAGGATCCGCCGGTAACCCCGTCCCTCCTAATTCACACACAGCCCCTGAAACAGTCCTGATGGACTCCGCAGGGGACTTTGCAGTCTGCAAAACCTTTTCACAAACAGTTGCTCATTTATATACATAGGCAGCCTTCTGCTAGAACAGGCTGTGTTTCAAGGGTCCGCCTGCACAATGCTTGTTTGGAAACCTAGACTCAAATTTCCCACAGAAACAAATGCTACTGGGTTGACACTTGTTTTCGCAAGCCAGAAACCTATGCGATCTGTTTGGGGTGATCCGTTAAAATTCCTCACCACCACCTCTATGTGTGTGGTGCGGAGGAAGGGACACATAAATAATTGGAAAAGAGCATTTTGTACTTTAATGAACTGTAATTTTTTGACTCTGCAGTTTTTAAAATATATTTTAAAGGATTCTTTTATTTCTGAATAATTGGATGAAATGTTAAAAAAAAAAAGTCTAGCTCTTATTTTGTGTGACTCCCCAGAAGGCTAAAAATACTAGGCTGTCTGGATGGTTACCAATGCCCTGACATTGTACCAACCATGAGAGACCCAGCACCTCCACATGGTCCACAATCTGACTTTGGGGAGCCAGAGCATTGCCCCCTGCTGCACCAATGGCAGCGAGAATGAGGCCCCATCCCCATCCCCACCGAGGGGGCCCTGCTCTGCCCCCTCCCCTGTGAGCAGTGCAGGAAGTGAGGTGGGTCATGCAGAAAGAGAGCCATGAGGACAATTCCTCCCTGCTCCTCTTCTCCCTCTCTCAAGCCCCAGAGATGGACAGTCTGACCAATTCTCCTTCCTCCCTGGGGTGATGGTGGATCCCAGTCTCTCCTGACATTCTTGAAGAAGGCGAAGAGTTTTTTTTAAAAATTTATAAGGATTTTTACTTCCAGTAGTAACTGATAAGACACCCCCATAGCGCCCAGGGTTCTCCCAACTCTTTCTGTGTTCAGGTAGATTCAGGTAGACCTGGGTGCTGCTCCCTAGGAACCTTTCTTGACGGCCAGGGCCCAGTCTCTGTGTGCCCGCAACACTGTGGCCAGCTTTTTATCTACATGTACTCATTCCTCTCCTTCTTAAGGGCAAGGAAACACTAGCATGGGACCTGGCCCAAAGCAGGCACTCGGTAGTTATTCATAAAAAAGAATTTGTGGCAACAAAATTCATTTGTTGTTTGGGCATTTCAGATGCCTTTGGGTATTTAAGACATAGGAAGACATCTTGAGTTGCTGGGGGGAGAGGGCTATGGGTGGAGGAAGGAGGGGAGAGGGAGAAACCACTGTGATGAGACGAGGGTTTCTGAAAGGAACATGTGAGAAAATGATACAAGGGCGCCTCTGCCAAGATGCACCCTGAGCTAAAGGTGGGTATGAGGACCAAGTGGTCTCCAGGGCTCATGGGCCCTTCCTGTCTTCTCCATCAGAGATCCTATTCTGAAAAGTCTGCCCCCAGCTGAGGCCAAAGCAGCAATGAGAACAGGAGAAAAGGGAAGGGGAGGGGGCCCCCTAGTTGGTGGTGGGAAAAGAAAAGAGAGGGCATGAAAGGGCTCTTGGGCTCTTCCTGGGGGAGGGGTGCCTATGTAAGGATGCATGAGAGGACAGCCATGAGTTAGGATTTTCGGTACAGGTAGCTAGGAGCAACCCTCCTGCACTTGAAAACGAAGAACATCGCCCCCTCCTGCCCAATTCTCCAATTGTATGTAAAGCACTTACCGTGAATTGAATAAATAACGATTTTTTTAATCTTGAGTGTTTTTCTGGCAGGGAGATTCAAGTTGTAGATATTTTTCACATCCGCAAAATATCCAACATATCTACTCTGCAAAACAACAGAAGCCTCAATTTAAGTGGAGATGAAAAACTCGGCATTCCTGATTTTTCTCTTTTTTTTTTTTTTTAACACAGAACTTAAGGCCAATCATTCACTAAGGAAACATTTGTTGGGTGTCATTATAGAACTAAGCATTTTCATGGTCACTGCCTTACGACTCAATATCTACCCTAAAAAAAAAAATACTGAACTCAGTGCTGTGGGGAAGTAACAAGAAAGGAGCCAGGTGTTGCTTTTAGGCTGCTCATATCTGAGAGGGCATCTAACCAGAACCAACCGAGAGCTATGACATGACACCAAGATGTACCTGATGCAACTGTGAAAAAGGTCAATCTGAGGGTGGAGCCTTCGCGGTGACTGAGTTAAAGGAAGCTCTGTGGTTTGGTGAGGAGTAGCCTCCCAGTCATGAAAGAACTCGAGAAGACCTCCACAGGCCATTAACAGACACATATGCTCTTATCCCTGTGGCCAGCTTGAGTTTACTCACTTTCCATTTCCCCAATTCTATTTTTGTAAGGAAGCCTTGGATTCTCTTTGCCGAGTCCTTCTGTGGCAAGCTGCTCACGGGGCCTCTCCTTGACTCCTTTTTTAAGATTTATTTGATTTTTTAGTTTTTAAGTAATCTCTATACCCAACACAGGGCTCGAACTCACAACCCTGAGGTCAAGAGTTGCAGGCTCCACTGACCGAGCCAGCCAGGCGCCCCTCTCCCCGACTCCTCCTTCACTCAAGAAGCGAAAGAGTTCTGACATGGAATCAAACGGACTTCAAAGCTCACAGATTCTTTCCCACCCAATGGGAAGGGTTCATAAGATTAGCTGCCACACTTTCCATCGGAAAGTGCCAGTCAAGAGAAACGCTCGAGCAAGTTCGTAGCCTGGGGATGGATGAAGTGTAGTCCACAGAACGGGCCACATGCACAGCCAAAATGTGATGGTATCTGAAATTTGCCACCCCCCAGGGAGGGAACGCTGTCTTGGGGCCCTGAGGACACAGCGCTCAAACCTGAGGCCGAGTGCTGTTATGCCAGCGAATCAGAAGACAGTCCGTGGCAGCCTCTGGTGTGCCGGTTCGGGAGTGAGAGGGACCGCACGGCACAGAAGCGGTGGGGAAGGGAAAATGTACAGGGAGAGTCCTTGAAGGAGTCGCATCTAACATCCCCTTGCTCCTGCCACCAGATTCTCTACTCTCCGTGGAAGGCTTGTCACGCAGCAGGGCCCTCAGGCTGCTTTTGCCCCCCCCCCCCCCCCATCCTTCCTTCTCCTGGAGCTTAAAACAACAGGAGTTAATACAACGAACAGTGTGTTTAGTAAGCGTTCCCTACAAACAGCACTTTGGGATGCAAAAGGTGCTAAGATGGGTAAGGCAGGGGCCTTGCCTGCCCAAGAGGTAGGGAAGTCAAACAGCTAGAGAACAATGTGAAATAGCTTCGTCCCCGGCCAAACACAAAAATAAGAGCCTACTTTGGCTCTTATAATTGGCTTTGGAGTCTGACAGAGCTGGATTTGAGCTCTTGATTCAAAAAGTTAGTTTCCCTGAACCTCCACTTCCCAATCTGTAAAATGGGCACCATTTTACGTTCAGAGTTTTTGAGACTATTACAGGAGGTAATGAACATGCATGCTTTTTACAACAAAGTCTAGAATGTCGTAAGCTCTATAGGATAAATATCCTGGCTTCTGCAATGAACACATGTTAACCTATAAAAGAGACAGGTGGGAAACCTATAAACTACAAGAGACTGAAGAGATATAGCAACCAAATGCAATGTGTGACCCTTGTTTGGATCCTGACTGAAGCAAACTACATTTTAGAAACATTTTGAGATGATTATGAAAATTTAAACACGCACTAGCCACTTGTTGTTATCAAGGCATTATTAAGGTCTAACATTTTTAGATTTGATAAGTGGCTTTAAGGTGCTTTTTCCCCTCAAGAATCTATGTTGGATGTCATATTAAAATACTCGTGGGATAGTATGATCTGATGGCTGGGATTTCCTTCACAGTGATCCAGATTCAGAGAAAAAGTGGAGAAGGGGAGTGTGTGTGAGGAGATTGGGGAGGGAATGAATGATGGGTGATAAAATGATTGTTGAAGTGCTGTGAGGGCTATAAGGGACTTATTATAAGACTGTCTTGACTTTTTAAAAATTAATTAATTTACTTTATAAGAGAGTGAGTGTGAGTGAGCACAGGGAGGGGCAGAGACAGAGGGAGAGAATCCCAAGCAGGGTCCATGGTGACCGCATGGAGCCTGACACGGGGTTCGAACCCCGGGCACCCCTGTTTTGATGTTTTATGTTTGAAATTGTCCATCATAAAACAATTTTAAAAGGACAAAATAGGGTAACTGCATATATTTCACATGGGTTTTCTGAGTATTAAATGAGATAATATATGTCAAAGTGCAATCGTGTCTGGTATATAATACATTTCTGAAAGATATTCATTTCCCCTCTTCTTTCACTTTCAAAATACAGCAGCCTCTCCTCTGTCTCTTTCTCTCTCATACACACACAGACGTGATGTTCTGCAAGAGTTGAATTGCCCCAGTAGGGGTTTGTGAAAGACTTGAGTTCCTCTTTAAAGGAAAATCAATTTGGGTCATCTCCCTTTTCTTTTTGAGAAGCCTGGCTAGAGGTTTATCAATTTTGTTTTTTTTCAAAAAACCAACTCTTGGTTTCATTGATCTGCTCTACAGTTTTTTTTAGATTCTATATTGTTTATTTCTGCTCTGATCTTCATTATTTCTCTTCTTCTGCTGGGTTTAGGCTGTCTTTGCTGTTCTGCTTCTATTTCCTTTAGGTGTGCTGTTAGATTTTGTATTTGGGATTTTTCTTGTTTCTTGAGATAGACCTGGATTGCAATGTATTTTCCTCTCAGGACTGCCTTCGCTTCATCCCAAAGCGTTTGGATTGTTGTATTTTCATTTTCATTTGTTTCCATATATTTTTAAATTTCTTCTATAATTGCCTGGTTGACCCATTCATTCTTTAGTAGGGTGTTCTTTAACCTCCATGCTTTTGGAGGTTTTCCAAACTTTTTCCTGTGGTTGATTTCAAGCTTCATAGCATTGTGGTCTGAAAGTGTGCATGGTATAATCTCAATTATTTTATACTTATGAAGGCTGTTTTGTGAGCCAGTATGTGATCTATCTTGGAGAATGTTCCATGTGCACTCAGAAGAAAGTATATTGTGGAGTATTAAAGTATGTAAAGTAAGTGGAGTATTAAAGTCCCCTGCAATTACCACATTCTTATCAATAAGGTTGCTTAGATAAAATCATATATGAAAATGGAATTATTACAACCAATCCCTCAGAAATACAAGTGATTATCAGAGAATACTATGAAAAATTATATGCCAACAAACTGGACAACCTGGAAGAAATGGACAAATTCCTAAGCACCCACACACTTCCAAAACTCAAACTAGAAGAAATAGAAAACTTGAACAGACCCATAACCAGCAAAGAAATGGAATCAGTTATCAAATATCTCCCAACAAATAAGAGTCCAGGACCAGATGGCTTCCCAGGGGAATTCTACCACACATTTAAAGCAGAGATAATATGTATCCTTCTCAAGCTGTTCCAAAAAACAAAAACGGAAGGAAAACTTCCAGACTCATTCTATGAAGGCAGCATTACTTTGATTCCTAAACCAGACAGAGACCCAGCAAAAAAGAGAACTACAGGCCAATATCCCTGATGAATATGAATACAAAAATTCTCAATAAGATTCTAGCAAATCAAATTTAATAGCATATAAAAAGAATTATTCACCATGATCAAGTGGGATTCATTCCTGGGCTGCAGGGCTGGTTCAACATTCACAAATCAGTGTGATACATCAAATTAATAAAAGAAGAGATAAGAACCATATGATCCTGTCAATCAATGCAGAAAAAAAGCATTTGACAAAATTCAGCATCCTTTCTTAATAAAAACCCTCCAGAAAGTCGGAATAGAAGGAACATACTTAAACATCATAAAAGCCATTTATGAAAAGCCCACAGCTAATATCATCCTCAATGGGGAAAAACTGAGAGCTTTCCCCCTGAGGTCAGGAACATGACAGGGATGTCCACTCTCACCGCTGTTGTTTAACATAGTGTTGGAAGTTCTAGCATCAGCAATCAGACAACAAAAGGAAATCACAGTTATCAAAATTGGCAAAGATGAAGTCAAGCTTTCACTTTTTGCAGATAACATGATATTATACATGGAAAACCCGATAGACTCCACCAAAAGTCTGCTAGAACTGATACATGAATTTAGCAAAGTGGCAGGATACAAAATCAATGTACAGAAATCAGTTGCAATCTTATACACTAATAATGAAGCAACACAAAGACAAATAAAGAAACTGATCCCATTCACAATGGCACCAAGAAGTATAAAATACCTAGGAATAAACCTAACCAAAGATGTAAAAGATCTGTATGCTGAAAGCTATAGAAAGCTTATGAAGGAAATTAAAGAAGATATAAAGAAATGGAAAAACATTCCATGCTCATGGATTGGAAGAATAAATATTGTTAAAAAGTCAATACTACACAAAGCAATCTATTCATTCATCGCAATCCCAATCCAAATTGCACCAGCATTCTTCTCGAAGCTAGAACAAACAATCCTAAAATTTGTATGGAACCACAAAAGGCCCCGAATAGCCAAAGTAATTTTGAAGAAGATAACCAAAGCGGGAGGCATCATAATCCCAGACTTTAGCCTCTACTACAAAGCTGTAATCATCAAGACAGCATGGTACTGGCACAAAAACAGACACATAGACCAATGGAATAGAATAGAAACCCCAGAACTAGACCCACAAAAGTATGGCCAACTAATCTTTGACAAAGCAGGAAAGAATATCCAATGGAAAAAAGACAGTCTCTTTGACAAATGGTGCTGGGAGAACTGGACAGCAACATGCAGAAGAATGAAACTAGACCACTTTCTCACACCATTCACAAAAACAAACTCAAAATGGATAAAGGACCTGAATGTGAGACAGGAAACCATCAAAACCCTAGAGGAGAAAGCAGGAAAAAACCTCACGGACCTCAGCCACAGCAATTTCTTACTTCACATCCCCAAAGGCAAGAGAATTAAAAGCAAAAATGAACTATTGGGACCTCATGAAGATAAAAAGCTTCTGCACAGCTAAGGAAACAATCAACAAAACTAAAAGGCAAATGACAGAATGGGAAAAGATATTTGCAAATGACATAGCAAAGGGCTAGTATCCAAAATCTATAAAGAGCTCACCAAACTCCACACCCGAAAAACAAATAACCCAGTGAAGAAATGGGCAGAAAACATGAATAGACACTTCTCTAAAGAAGACATCCTGATGGCCAACAGGCACATGAAAAGATGCTCAACGTTGCTCCTCATCAGGGAAATACAGATCAAAACCACACTCAGATATCACCTCACACCAGTAAGAGTGGCTAAAATGAACAAAACAGGAGACTATAGATGCTGGAGGGGATGTGGAGAAACGGGAACCCTCTTGCACTGTTGGTGGGAATGCAAACTGGTACAGCCGCTCTGGAAAACAGTGTGGAGGTTCCTCAAAAAATTAAAAATAGATCTACCCTATGAAGCAGCAATAGCACTGCTAGGAAGTTACCCAAGGGATACAGGAGTGCTGATGCATAGCAGCACTCTCAACAATAGCCAAATTATGGAAAGAGCCTAAATGTCCATCAACTGACGAATGGATAAAGAAATTGTGGTTTATATACACAATGGAATACTACATGGCAATGAGAAAGAATGAAATATGGCCCATTGTAGCAACGTGGATGGAACTGGAGAGTGTTATGCTAAGTTAAATAAGTCATACAGAGAAAGACAGATACCATATGTTTTCACTCTTATGTGGAGCCTGAGAAACTTAACAGAAGACCATGGGGGAGGGGAAGGAGAAAAAAAAAAGGTTAGAGAGGGAGGGAGCCAAACCATAAGAGACTCTTAAAAACTGAGAACAAACTGAGGGTTGGATGGGGGGTGGGAGGGCGGGGAGGGTGGGTGATGGGCATTGAGGAGGGCACCTGTTGGGATGAGCACTGGGTGTTGTGTGGAAACCAATTTGACAATAAATTTCATATTTAAAAAAAATAAGGAAAATCACAGGCTAGTGACTTACAATAATCTTCAAGGGTCTGGAATCTTAGAAATCAGACCTTCCTACTTTGGGAAGGGAATCAACTCTTGAACTCTGTGAGCAATGACCAATATAAAATGGACCACGGATGCCCTGGGAGAACTTTGTGTTTGCAGAGCACCAGGAGGGCCCCAGCTGTGGCTCTCGGGCCCTGGGAGGGATCAAGGCCTATCACAGGCACCAGAGTCAGGCTGCCTGATCGCCAGAGGAAAAGAATCTAAAATGAAACCAAATAATAGCTGCCAATCTTAACCAACTTCCTGAAGAATCCCCTTGTAAAAAACACAACTTACCTGAGAAGGAGTCTCAACTCCCTGATATTTAGCGCTGGTGCTTTTATCTGTTCGCCGTTCTCCAAAATAATAAAGGCTGTCCTACAGAAAAGGGGGCCACACAATCAAGGTTCGTCTGCATGTTCTTTTCCTTGTAAGGCATCCTTAAAAGTTCTGAGGGCACATTATTTCCTTAAGTCAGCAGCCTCTGAGCAGAGGCTGCCCCAAATAAAGTTAACAACAACAACAAGCCACATGCAGGCTTGTTACACACACACACACACACACACACACACACACACACACTCACTCACTCACAAAACAATACTTACCTGTTGCTATTTTCTGTCCTAATCGATTCCATTTTGTTATTAAAAATGCCAGTCACGACCCAATGCAGTTGAGTTTACAGCTCACGGATCGATTGGATCCAGTTTGAAAAACACTGTCCAATACCCATTTTCCTAACCTGTGTGTCTCAAATTAGGAACAAAGCAGAAGGTGGCGCTAGAGGGCGGGCCACACGGACAATGTGAAGGCCCCTTCTCAGACTGTGGGCCAAGTGGGGAGCAGAACTGCTGGGCGCCCCTGTTCAGCAGGAGCTTCTCAGCAGGATCATGGTGGAACGAAGACTGAGAACCCCACTTTAAGAAATAGAAATAGCCCACCCTCTCTTTGCAGAAATTTCCAGAGGGCACAGACCCCACAGAGAGTGATTATGAGAAGTTAATAACACACAGGAGAGACTTTGTTCTGCATGGCAAAATGTACCTTTTATCTACCTAGAACCTCTTTATTTTTCTTAAGTTTATTTATTTATTTTTTGAGAGAGAGAGAATGTGTGTGTGAGCAGGGGAGGAGCAGAGAGAGAGGGAGAGGGAGAATCCTAAGCAGGCTCCACACCGTCAGCATGGAGTCTGATACGGGGCTCGAACTCACAAACGGCGAGATCATGACCTAAGCTGACACCAAGAGTCGGGCACTTAACCAACTGAGCCACCCAGGCACTCCTACCTACTACTTCTAAGGATGTCTGAAGTCCTTTAGAGAACTTATCAAACCAGTCTTGATATTATTCTTGTGAGGAAGGAGGAAGTCCCCTAACTGGGGGCATAAGAGCGGGGCTGGGATGAGGTGAAGTGAAGGAAGCATTACGATTGTAGAGGTTTTTTGTTTTTGTTTTTTTTTTTTGCACTTGGACTGCTTGACCCTACCTCATCTTAGTTCTGTCCCTATTTGTCCGTCTTTATTTACATATTTTATTAGTTTTTAAAAATTTATTTATTTATTTTCAGAGAGACAGTGAGAGCAAGTGCAAGCAGGAAGGGGCAGAGAGAGGGGGGAGAGAGAATCCCAAGCAGGGTTCGTGCTGTCAGCACAGAGCCTGACTTGGGTCTCAACCCCACAAACCATGAGATCATGCATGACCTGAGCCGAAATCAAGAGTCGAACACTTAACCAAAGGAGCGAGCCACCCAGGTGCGCCTGAGAATGTCAGAATTATTGGCGTGCCTGGGTGGCTCAGTAGGTTGAGTGTCTGACTCTTGGCTCCAGCTCAAGTCATGATCTCAGGGTCACAGCATTGAGCCTCACGTGGAGCCTGCTTGAGATTCTTTCCCTCTGCCCCCCTCCCCTGCTCTCTCACTCGCTCTCTAAAATAAAAAATATTTAAATAAAATAAAATGTTGGGTATTACCATGGATTTTTTTTGCATTAGTTTTGATCGTTAAAAATAATGCATTCGATTATTTATCTTAATTACTGAAAATTTTGGCATTCCCTTAAATTTTGTGCCTGAAGTGAGTGTTTCACTGACCTCACTCTAGTCCTGGCTCAGAGTTAAGAAGCACCTAGGTCAGTTACTAACCAGTGCGAGTTAAACAAGGAAGTATCAAAACCAGGCTTTCTAATAACTGCTTCCCCAATTACAACTCTGTTAAGCGCCACAACTCAAAGAATCATCTTAACGTCCTACCAGTGAGGTTTCAGAACTATCGAACTCAATCAGCGTAAGACAGAGCCTGCGGTCACATCTTTCGTACCTCTGCAGTTGTAAATATTTCACTGGCAATAAGGCAGGCACAAGCCATCGTTCCAGTTCTTCCTGGAAAAGAAAAGAAGTCCATGAACCATTGTTCGTGGCAATACTTGGTATAAAAATGCTGTCATGAATATTCAGAGAGCTCAGTTTGGATTGATTTTCTTTCGCTCTGAAAGTGCTTGTTGAACGAACATGTTTCAATTCAGGAATAGGCAAAGCTGTCTCGTGGGTCTGGAGCTGTCCCTGGAATTCTGTGCTGTGCGCAGGGACACACACGTGCACGCATGTAGGGTTCTTGAGTCGCTACGGCTGGGGATCACAGCTGCAGGCAGAGGCAGTGAGGTCTATTCTGGGACTCGGAAGCTAAAGAGCTACTTACCAATTAAGAGCTAATTATACACTCTGTTTTTCTAACTAACCTAAGTGAAAGTACCTATAAAAGATAAAACGTGATCAGAACCCAAAACATGACGAAGCATTTACAACATCCATTTTTCCTTCTATTTTTGAGTTTTTTTTTTTTTTTCAACGTTTATTTTTGGGACAGAGAGAGACAGAGCATGAACGGGGGAGGGGCAGAGAGAGAGGGAGACACAGAATCCAAAGCAGACTCTGGGCTCTAAGCTGTCAGCACAGCTCATGAACCACAAGATCATGAACTGAACTGAAGTCAGACGCTCAACCAACTGAGCCACCCAGGCACCCCTATTTTTAAGTGTGCTACCAGACATGTAAGAAAGTAAAGAGAATAGTATAATGAACCCCCATATATCTGTTCCCCAGAGTATATCATATTGCTGTACCTTTCTTTCTCCTCTTCCCTCCCTTCTTCCCTCTCCCCATTTTTCTTCCTTTTTTCTATAGCATTTTATTTAAAAAATTTTTTTTAACGTTCATTCACTTTTCAGACAGAGAGAGACAGAGCATGAACGGGGTAGGGGCAGAGAGAGAGGGAGACACAGAATCGGAAGCAGGCTCCAGGCTCCGAGCCATCAGCCCAGAGCCTGACGCGGGGCTCGAACTCACGGACGGCGAGATCGTGACCTGGCTGAAGTCGGACGCTTAACCGACTGCGCCACCCAGGCGCCCCTTCTATAGCATTTTAAAGCAAACCCTTGACTTCAGTCATTTCATCCTCAAAGTTTCTTATGTTTTATTCTAATTTATATTTTTGTCCCGCTATACAAAATTTGTTTTAAAAAATATGTTGCTTCTTTTATTTCCAGTTACTTCTAGCTTTTGTCTTAGCCAGTGCATGCTGAACTTTATGTAATTTCAAACTTACCTTTTTAACTTGAGATACATTCTGTTTTCTATTCGATTCCTTTTTTTTTAATGACCCAAACTTATTTTGTAACTCATAGTTTGAAAAACATTCTAAGCCAAGTACTTCTAAAAAAAAGACTATAATTTATTTTAAAAGTTTAGAGACAGAGTGCAAGTTGGGGAGGGGGCAGAGGGAGGGAAAGAGAAAGAGAGAGAGAGAGAGAGAGAGAGAGAGAGAATCTTAAGTAGGCTGCATGCTGCATATGGGGATCCCACAACCCTGGGATCACTACCTGAACTGAAATCGAGAGTCAGACGCTCAGCCAACTGGGTCATCCAGGCTCCCCCCCAAAAAAGACTTGGTACCACCCAATGCTATGATACATAAAGGCTTCTTGCTAAAGGAAATCCTGACTATTAACACCCCAGCTCTCAGTGGTATAGACTGTTAACATTTCAATTCTGGAAGACATCTCTGGATGTCTATACTGGCATCTTCCCATCTGAAAAAAATTTTTGCAGATTTCATGCCCTTGTGGTTGTGTACAACCAAAGACACAGTAGATGCCCTCTCATCCAGTCAAGTCAGGTAGAGCAGGGAATCATGAAAATGATTGTATGAAAAGTATTACCTTTAATACTTAATTTTAACTTCAAACATAAATATACACTTATTCACTAACCTTCCGATACCGGACAGAGGTTTCAACTTTTTAAATATGTGTCTCCCCAGTTGGAATTCTTTCTTGGAAAGGCCAGGCCTGTGGTAGAAACCACTGCATCATCTATAATTTCTAGTTTCAGATTCTTTAAAGCAATCTAGGTAGAGAAGCCTCTTAGATTTTACTGCTGGGGTTTTTCTCCCCATGTTTTATATGAGTCACACTTGCCCGTTTTTAAGCTTATTTATTTATTTTGAGAGAGAGGGAGGGGCAGGGGAGGAGCAGAGAGGGAGAGAGTGAATCCCAAGCAGGCTCAGCACAGAGCCTGATGCAGGGCTCAATCCCACAACCATGAGACCATGGCCTGGGCTGAAACCAAGGATTGGATGCTTAACAGACTGAGCCACCCAGGTGCCCCTAGTCTTACTTGCATTTAATTCAGCTGCCATTTTTATTGTAGCCGCTCAACTTCATTGAAGCTTCTTGAAACTTTCAACTAAGGGCTCATAAAATTACAGCTTTCTGTTCACTCTGCCATTTTACAGATCTATATAATATTTAATTCTTTGGCAGAAGCATAATAACAAATAGAAGTGATAGACACTGGTGGAAGAAGAAACACACAGGCATGCTAAATTGAAGCTTACTAGTTGCAAGTTTTCAAGATGCCAGGGAACACCACAGGTGTGTTTATAAAGGGAATGGAGAATATTCACCAAGTTGGTTAGAGGGAGTCTGCGAGAGAGCCTTTGTTATCCTGAAGTCGGCAGAAGCATCTTGCATCTCTAAATGCAATACAGTACTGGCTTTCATAATGATGACTAACACTTGGGTAATACTTTACAGATCTCATATAATCTTTACAATTTTGTGAGGTAAATACCCTGCATAAGGAGGGAGAAACTGAGGTTCTACACATTGAAGCAACTTTCACATGGTCAAAGACATCTTAATACCAGTTTATATGATCTCTTACAACAGTCCTTAAACTTTATTCTTTCTCAGCTGCATCCATTACACTCCCTACAATGTACAATTTATACTCTATATTCTGGAATTTGTAAGCAGAGACTGAGGCAATGTTCCTGACCCCAGCTGTGTGTGTGTGTGCGCGCACGCCCCTTAGAGCTGCTTAAAGCACCTAAAATGTAGCTAAAAGAGAATTCCAGTCCAAGATGGCGTCATAGGAAGCTCCTGAAATCACCTCGTACCTGGACACAACAAATCTGCACCTATTTAAGCACAGTTCCACCTGCAGAAGAACCAAGGGCTGAATGAACAGCTTCCGCTGCTCACAAGGTAGAGAGACCACACAGAGAACAGCAAGAGAGAGGGAGACGTGGTAATGAAGGGACTCCCCACCCCCAACACTGCAAACTGTGGTGGGGAGGGACGGTACTGAGGGACCGAGCAGATTCATCTGCCCCAGGGCAGAGAAAAAGTCTAAAAGAGAAACCAGTAGGGCATCTGGGTGGCAGTTGACAGTCTGACTCTTGTTTTTAGCTCAGATCATGCATCCCAGCGTCATAGGATCCAGCCCTGTATTGGGCTCTGTGCTGAGCATGGAGCCTACTTGAGATTGTCTGTCTGTCTGTCTGTCTGTCTGTCTGTCTGTCTGTCTCTCTCCCTCCCTCCCTCTGCCCTACTCTCTCTCTTCCCTCTGCCCTACTCTCTTTCTCCCTCTGCCCTACTCACTCACTTTCTCTCTCTCTCTCTCCCTCTCTCCCTCCACCCTACTCTTTCTCTCCCTCCGCCCTACTCTCTTTCTCCCTCTGCCCTACTCACTCACTTTCTCTCTCTCTCTCCCTCCCTCCACCCTACTCTCTCTCTTCCTCTGCCCTACTCTCTCTCTTCCTCTGCCCTACTCTCTCTCCCTCTGCCCTACTCACTCACTTTCTCTCTCTCTCTCTCTCCCTCTCCCTCCACCCTACTCTTTCTCTCTCTCTCCCTCTCTCTCTCCCTCTGCCCTACT